AAAAAAAGTTTTGTTTTTGAAGACTGGACAATTTCTTTCTGCTTGAATTTCTCAGGATTCTACAATGATACTTCTGGGCAGGCATCTTCAGTTTTATAGATCCAAGCACATTTCAGCCAGAATATTCAGATGAAAAACAAAGATGATTTTTGACAAAAGGATTGATGATGAGTTTTAATGAAAAGACCATATTTGAAGTCATCATTTGTTTTTCCCTCCTGCCCCAGATGACTTCTGAAATTAGGCATAGCTTGCTTTTTTGCCCTGAACAAGAGAGGGACAGAAATTCTCAAGATAGATTACCAAATGAAAACCCAAATACTACAGGTAAAAATGAGAAGGCAAAAGACATCAACGATTGATGAGAGAGAAAAATATATTTGCAAGTAGAATGGATGCTTATTTTTTTCTTTGTGAACCTGTAGAGATGGACAGGCTCACAAAAAGAAAAGAAAAATAAGCCCTGTCGAGCAGCATTTAAGTTAGCTCCCACAGAAGGCTCTTGACCACCAATACAATTGCAGTAATGAAAACTTGGGAATGTATGAAAACTTATTTTGTCAAAAAAGAAAATGAATTACAATTTTGTAAAGAATCATTTCATATCGACTTAAACAGATTTACTACCGTTAGTAAATTTTACTACTGTTAGTTTCAGTAAAAGTTAATATATAAGAAAGCCAAAAGGTTCCTAAGGATGCAAACATCAATATTAATTATCCACCACTTGTCTTTGTAAATCAGATATTAATTACTGACAAATGTATTTGGAATTATAGCATTTTTGTCTCAAGTTGCACCAAATAAGAAAAAGAAAAATTTTTAAGTAGACACTGAAAAATTCAGGGAATGATTTTTAATGTCATTCCCATCTTCTGTTTGTTTATTTAAAATTGCTTTCATACCAAACAAGTAAAAAAAAAAAAAAAAAAAAATAGAGAATTTCTTAGAAACTATAATAAGCATTTTCTGTGTCAATTATTAAATGTTCTGCAAATTATCGGTTTCATTGATCTCAGGTGTTCAATAAACAAAATGAAAGGATCAATATTTAAAAAAAATTGGGGGGGGGATTTTCTAGAAGTATAGATAATATAGAGGAATCTAAATTCACCTGCAACATTAAAACAAAAATAAAGAAATACAAAGGATTGTAACTTTATAGAAAGGGAAAACCCACCATTTTAAGGGGAATATTTCAATAAATACATTTTCAACTTGAAAAATCCTCACTCCTTAAGTGTTTAAATGATAATAATGATGATAATAAAATAGTGTAAAGATGTCATTTGAAAGTCCTGGATCAAACCTGCACAAAATACAGCCTGTGAAACTACCAAGTGTGGCTTGTGAGAAGTTTTTGAAAATAGTAAATTTTTTCTGCTCATCAGAATAAATTCAATGACTGCATACAAAGAATTCAGTTTCCAGGAATCATGAGTTATTTAACAAATGTCTTAAAAATATTAAATGTTGAAATACCTAAAGAAATTATCACCTTACCAGGGGCCAAAATGTAAGAAATGTATTTATAAAAAGAAAAAAAAAACAAAAAACATCGGTACCTATGTGACCATTACCAAAAGCTATGTGAAATGTTTGCTTCTGATTAACACCTAACTTCTTTGGAAACATAAAAGTTTTACTTGCTCTAAAAATTTACTTTTGTAGGCAGAAGTTAAATTTCTGCAAATGTGGTCCTTCACTTTTTTTTTTAAATTTTTATTTGTGCAGGCCTGTTCTAGATCATTTTTGCAATGTTTTCTAAATATTTCAAAATAAGGATCCCAGAATTATTACACCCCACTAAAACACACAAAAAAAAAAAAAAAAAAAAAAAAAAATATATATATATATATATATATATATATTAGACAAATATGACAGACAAACATGATAGATTCCAGCACTTGTTTTTTTCTTCCATAAAAATAAACCATAAAAGAATTTAATCTTTTTGGATGCTTTCATGAGGGCCTGAAAAATGTCAAGTGTTAAAAGTTACAAATCAAATTAGAAAGATGAAAATGTCAAAAAATTAACTTATTCACATTTGACGTTACTTTCCTGTATTGTTGATTTTAGAATCATTCTGCTAACAACTTCAAGAATCACCAATTTCTCTTCAAACCATTTTACAACTTAATTTCTTATTTTTCTTCTGAATGTTGTCATCATAATTTAATTCTCAATGTTTATCATTATTTCTAATTTATCTACTAAACTTTTTACAGTATTTTCTTTTTTTTTTCCAAAATATGAACAATTTCTGGACCTGCTGGTGGTCCATTATTTACACATTTTTTTTTGTTTTTGAAAGTCATAAATATTATGTGTGTTTTCATTTTATTGCTATCTTCCATTTTATTGCTATGATTTGCACCTAATTTCCTTGTAAGCTTTTATTATCATCATCATCACACCCCATTTTTCATCCCATCTAATGTCATCATTCTGAAGATTTCCTTCTCCACTGTTATTTTTATGCTGCTGCTGCTTCAACACTGACACAGATTGTTGACATTTGTGAATGCCATTTCAACTTTGTGGGAAGATGATGAGAGTTGCTAATGCAGTGGGGAGGAGGTGCCATTACAAGTGCATAACAGAGACATTTCCCTCCGGGGGGGGGGGTAATAAAGGGGGCAGGCAGCATGAGGGTAGGTGAAAAGCAAAAGAAAGATGGAAACAGGGATGAGAGAAATGAGGTGAGAGGACAGATGAGAGAGAAGACAGATATATTAATGGAAAAATACATTGGAGAAAGAGAAATAAAATATAAAAGTTACTAAAAGTAATAAAGGATGGAAAAATACATTGGAGAAAGAGAAATAAAGGGAGAAATGGAAAGAGAAGGGGAGAAATGGTAAGAAGGGGGAGAAATGGAAAGAAGGGGAGAAATGGAAAGAGAAGGGGAGAAATGGAAAGAGAAGCGGGGGAGAAATGGAAAAGAAGCGGGAGAAATGGAAAGAGAAGCGGGGAGAAATGGAAAGAGAAGCGGGGAGAAATGGAAAGAGAAGCGGGGAGAAATGGAAAGAGAAGCGGGGAGAAATGGAAAGAGAAGCGGGGAGAAATGGAAAAGAAGGGAGAAATGGAAAAAGGGAGAAATGGAAAGAAAGAAGCGGGAGAAATGGAAAGAGAAGGGGAGAAATGGAAAGAAAGGGGAAATGGAAAAAGCGGGGAATGGAAATGGAAATGGAAAGAAAGAAGGGAGAAATGGAAAGAGAAAAGGAGAAATGGAAAGAGAAGCGGGAGAAATGGGGAGAAATGGAAAGAAGCGGGGAGAAATGGAAAGAAGGGGAGAAATGGAAAGAGAAGGGAGAAATGGAAAGAGAAGCGGGGAGAAATGGGGGAGAAGGGAGAAATGGAAGAAAGCGGGAGAAATGGAAAGAGAAGGAGAAATGTGAAAAGAAAGCGGGGGAAATGGAAAGAAAGGGAGAAATTGAAAAAGAAGAAAGGAGAATGTGAAAAAAAAGGAAAAGGAAAAGGGCAATTAATTAAATTTGTGTGTAACTTTCATTGACCTCCTTGGTTGGGTACCACACACACAAATTCTTTGTGTGGTCAAAAAATATGGAAGGTTTTGTTCTATCATCCAAAAATTCCCATTCTTCCAGCACTTGGCACATAAATATCTATCACACTGAAAATTGCCACCATGATTTTCAGGCTTAAAAATTATACCTACATAAAAAAAGGGTTTTACCTGCCTTATTGAAGTATACAAAAAAAAAAAAAAAAAAATTTATGTCCTTGAAGAAAAACTATGATTTGGAAGAAGCCCTATGAGAGAGGGGCATTGAAATGTAGGAGGGGTTGGTATCTTATGGAAGGCTACACCACACATGCAAGTATTTCTATAATTCTGTGTGCATTAACTTGCATCTCAAAATAGGAAGGTGCAATTCACATAATTTAAGAGATTTGCAGGGGGGGCAGGCCTTCTAAGTCTATCTCTGTCTTGACAAAACAAAATAAAGAAAAGGTCAATATGTATAAGCAAGACTTGTGGAGCCATGATTATCTCCCTTCTTCCTCCTCCTCCTCATCAACAGCATCCAACCTTCTACTCTCCTTTACTTTCCCCATGCTCTCTTTGCTTTCCAAAGGTACACATACCCACATACGTGTGTGTGTGTGTGTGTGTGTGTGTGAACATATACTGCCTTCAATAGCAACTGAGTGATGAGGTTATCTTAGACAGGAAGAAGAATGCTAGAAGCAGGCAAGGAAAAAGACATTTTCAAAATGTATTGATTTCTTTGTTCTACATGAAGAGTAATAAAGATAAACTAAATATGTCTGAACTTTTCAATTCGTTTTAGGTGAGGTTGTAAATTCATAGCAGCTCTCTGATCTTTTTGCAGAGGAAAGAAAATAATGAATGTTTTCAATACTATTAAATCTACTGGCATAAAGCCAAAAGAACAGACAGGAAAAGTGAGTAAAAGAAAGAAAGAAAGAAAAAAAAGGGAAGCGGGGGGGGTATGGGGGGGAATTTGAAAAACTGTATTGTCAAAACAAAAAAAAAAAAACAGTTTGATTTTTCTCTGGAAAAAAAAGAAAAAGAACAAGTAAAAATGAGAAGGTAAAAAAAAGATAGAAAGAACCAACAAAAATTAAAGATCAATAAGAAATAGAGAGGGAGAGAGGCAAGGAATCCAAGAGGGGGAGAGGAGGCAAAGATAGGGAGGAATCCGAGAGAGAGAGAGATGGGGGATCCGAGAGAGAGAGAGAGAGAGAGAGAGAGAGAGAGAGAGAGAGAGAGAGGAGAGAGAGAGGAGGAGAGGGAGAGAGAGAGAGGGGATCGAGAGAGAGAGAGAGAGGGAGGATCCGAGAGAGAGAGAGGAGGGAGGAGAGAGAGAGAGAGAGAGAGAGAGAGAGAGAGGATCCGAGAGAGAGAGAGAGAGAGAGAGAGAGGGAGGATCCGAGAGAGAGAGAGAGAGGGAGGATCCGAGAGAGAGAGGGGGAAGGATCAGAGAGAGAGAGGGGGGGGAGGATCAGAGAGAGAGAGAGAGGGGGGAAGGATCAGAGAGAGAGGGGGGGGAGAGGATCAGAGAGAGAGAGAGAGAGGGAGGGGGAGAGAGAGAGAGAGGGGAAGGAGAGAGAGAGAGAGAGAGAGCAGGGGTAATCCAAGAGAGAGAGAGAGACAGGTAATCCAAGAGAGAGAGAGAGTAATCAAGAGAGAGATAGGGGTAATCCAAGAGAGAGAGAGACAGTAATCCAAGAGAGAGATAGGAGCAAGTAATCCAAGAGAGAGAGATAGGAGCAAGTAATCCAAGAGAGAGAGATAGGAGCAAGTAATCCAAGAGAGAGAGATAGGAGCCAGTAATCCAAGAGAGAGAGATAGGAGCAAGTAATCCAAGAGAGAGAGATAGGAGCAAGTAATCCAAGAGAGAGAGATAGGAGCAAGTAATCCAAGAGAGAGAGATAGGAGCAAGTAATCCAAGAGAGAGAGATAGGAGCAAGTAATCCAAGAGAGAGAGATAGGAGCAAGTAATCCAAGAGAGAGAGATAGGAGCAAGTAATCCAAGAGAGAGAGAGATAAAGTAATCCAAGAGAGAGAGATAGAGCAAGTAATCCAAGAGAGAGAGATAGGAGCAAGTAATCCAAGAGAGAGAGATAGGAGCAAGTAATCCAAGAGAGAGAGAGAGAGAGATAGGAGCAAGTAATCCAAGAGAGAGAGAGAGACACAGCGAGATAGGAGCAAGTAATCCAAGAGAGAGAGAGAGAGAGACAGCAAGATAGGAGCAAGTAATCCAAGAGAGAGAGACACACAGTGAGATAGGAGCAAGTAATCCAAGTGAGAGAGAGAGAGAGAGAGAGAGAGACAGCAAGACAGGAGCAAGTAATCCAAGAGAGAGAGAGAGAGAGAGACAGCGAGATAGGGAGCAAGTAATCCAGAGAGAGAGAGAGAGAGAGAGAGAGAGAGAGAGAGAGAGAGAGAGCGAGATAGGAGCAAGTAATCCAAGAAAGAGAGAGAGAGATAGCGAGATAGGAGCAAGTAATCCAAGAGAGAGAGAGAGAGAGAGATAGAGATAATCCAAGAGAGAGAGAGAGAGAAAGCAAGATAGGAGAATCAAAACAAAGCGGGGAGGGGGGAGATAATCTTGTTATAAACGAAAAGACAAAAATAAAAATTCAGATTTTAACAAAAAGCTACTGGCATAACCTAAAAAGAAAAATTCTTTCTCCTAATAAACTATGATCAACATAATTAGGTTGTTCTTTCATTCTCCCATATGTGTTGCCTACTTTGGTACGATTATAAGAAAGCTTACCATAGTGAATTTGGTCATCATTAATTTGCCTTCAGCTCTAAAATTGAGCCAGACTACCTCGGCTTAAATAAACAGCTATGAATATCTTCCAATAATGCAACAATGGTGAAAGTTGATCAAATAATCTCAAAGAATATTGACAGAAAAAGCCTCCTTCCATGACAGAAATACCGTTGAGGAGAAGATTTCAATTGGCTTTGGAGTAGAGAAGAAAGTACCATTGTAATACATTTCATTACAAGAATAGCACTTTGTATATTGTTTCAACATTTCCCTACAAGACGTTATCTCTGATTCAATAGATCTTCATTTCCCTAGTTCTCATCCGAAAGGGTCTACTGATATAAAAATTAAGGAAATGTATAAAAGGCCATGATTAGATAGCTGAAAATTAATGTACAATGTCAAATATTTTAAAAAGCAGTAACAGGTAGAGAAAAAAATATTCTAAGAAAACAAATGTAATTGAGAAAAGGTAATTTTGTTTCTCTTTATACATTACTGAAGTTCTTTATATACCTCAGTTTTTTGTTATCTTATCGCATTTCAGTCACTGTCAGCTCTGTCCATCCTTATGCATCTGTCATCTTCGGTATCCTTCTAGCAATGTCAAAGGAAACACTTGATTTAATCTGCAAGCTGTCATTTTGTTCTTATACCTGTCATGTCCGTTGTTCTCAGAGAATTTCAAAACTCCTAAGTGCCAATTCTTCATATCACTCAACTGTTATTTCTGTATGACTTGACCCAAAAGATTCAACTCACAACTTAAAAAAAAACAAAAACAAACTGTGTTTACCAGCAATTATATACTTGACCATGTATCTGTCAAATTTAACAGTTTATTTGCTTATTTTAAAATTACATTTTTTTTTCCCCCAATTTGTATTTCCAATTTCTGTTATTTATCTGAGTAAAAAGATAGAATTGTCAGATGCGTGTCCAAGTATGTAATTGCTGGTCAACATTGGTTTTTTTTTGTTTTTTTTTTAGTTTTAAGGTGGATTTTTGAGTCAAGTCATACAGAAATAACAATCTAATAGAGACGTGATATCATTAATAATTGGCATTTAGGAGTTTTGTAATTCTTTAAGAACATGACAAATCCAGAAAACTGGAGGAAAAAAAAAAACCTAAAAAATTAAATATACAGTTTGATGACAAAAGACAGAAATGGACACTTTTGCACACACATAGATGCATAAAGAGCTTTCACAAAAAAATATCACACTTGTACAGAGGCCTTATGTATTTTGTCAGAAACCAGTCATCTGGCTGTATTATAAAATTTATCAAGCATCTTTACATACATGGATATATAAGGAGATAGATGTGTCCATCTATGCCTATGAGGATGGAAGCTATAGAAACAAAGGAAATCATAGTCAGGTGCTTTAACAATAAATTTCAAGTAACATCATTTCACAGACAAGAGAAAAGGCCAAGCCCATCACTGCATCTGTTACCAGTTCCACAGATATAATAAACCAGTTGGAAACATGCCACTTGGCATCAATGTTCTATTTGCTAAGAAACTGAAAACCAGGTACAAGTTATTGAACACTAACAGCAACGCTTGGCCTCTGTACTAGCAATGCTACTGCATCTCTGGACACACTGGCACTTCTCCAGAGAGAATTTGATCCAAGGACCTTTGGCATCCCAGTTAGACGTGCAATGCAGTGGAGCATAAGAGAAAGACATATGGAAAGGTAAGCTCATGTGCAAAATGTTGCAGCTTTAGAAAGAGATGCTTCATGGATGATCATTCAAGTTTATAGATATGACAAATATCTATCAAGGATATATATGTATCATAGCTCATCTGGCACTGGGATTGATTTCTTTGGAGGCTGGAAGTCATTCAGGTTCAAATCTGTAAGCATACTATTTATTTTCAGTCTCTTCCTTATTAAATTTATGAAAAAGTCTACTGCTTCTGAATTTTGCCAATTGATAGGCACAATTAGTGAACCATGATTCTCTTGATTAAATCTTTATTAAAAGTAGATTATTTTAAAAAAAAAAAAAAAAAATTAAAAGACTACATTAAAAAAAAAAAAAAAAAATAATTAAAAAAATAATTGTAAGAATGAGTGTACAACCTAAAAAAAAAAAAAAAAAAAAAAAAAGGTAATTTTACCAAATGCCGGTAAATTATAAAAGTTGATAAAAAAAAAAAAGAAAGAAAATAAAAAAAAATACCTGTTTATTATTTAAAACAGATTCAATACTAGAAACATACAAAGTATATTGAAATAAGTGCCTGGATTCTAAATAAAGTCCTCAATATATTCCATGTTTGAATGAGAGCATATGTACTTGCTTTGGAAAAGCTTCTTGGTTGTTTCCTTCGCCAAGTGCATGTTGCCTCTTTCTATACCTTATCAGCATTAGAGAACTATCCACTTCCTTCATGGACCTTAAACCAAGTTTAGGGTGCTAGATTAAGACTGTAGGGTGAATGAAACAAGATACTGTGATTGCTAGTCAGGGCTTTAAAGGTTGTGTGAGGGCTCATTTTTTCATATAGTAAAACACCTCAAACATGACCCTAACTTGAAGCTTTGCCCAAAGTTTAGAGAATGTTCTCTCACATGAGAGCCAGAAGGTGCTATTGAGTGTAAACTAACAGTCATGATCCCTTCTGATTCCAAAGCATAGTGGCCATCATTTTTCCCTGTGAGAGTGATGCCTTAAAACTCTTTATCATGATTGATCTTTTTCTGTCCACCATATAATGATCAACCCAGGTCTCATCTGTTGTAGTTATCTTATCCTTAAGGGACTAGTGTTACACAGCTCTAGAAGCTCTTGGGCAGCAACTAGCTTTTTTTCTCTTTCATAGACTGTCATCATTTTGAAAACATACTTAGCACAGAACTTTGAGTAACAAAGGGTCTGCACTAAAAAAAAAAAAACAGGTTTCACAGTTTTGCAAGAGAAACTCTGCTGAAGAATACTATCAGTGTTTAGTTTATCCTCATTCTTGAACTGCTGCTTTGTGAAACTGACTACCATGAGGAGGCTTCCCCAAACACTATAATCTTAAACTTTGAAGTCTAGGGTCAACTGTTATTTTCATGACATATCCCCATAAATCATATCTCTTACTTTGTAGCCCTCTACCTCAAGTGGCTCTTCGGCCTTATACAGAGTGATCTTCATTTTAAAAAGAAAAAGAAGAAAACTTACAGCAGCTGACTTATCACTAAGAATAGTTTCTGGTTTCTATCTAGGATTGCTTTTAATTCTACTGGCCAATCTCCTTACATAAATGCAGCCTTTTCAGAAACATTTATGAACCTGAGAATGTTTGCAACACTTTCTTTGAAAACAAAGAACAGAACTTTGCTGCCTACATAAGGCCCAAGAGGAAGTCATTTTGAAAGATTATTAAAGGTAGACAAAGAGAATGTAAATCCACAATTTTTTTCTCCTGGACTTTGAGATAATTTCAGGTTTACAGGAAAAAATAACTGGTAATTCTTAGTAATGTTTTTAAAATTAAATCAGAACAGGCATTATTTTTGAGCAAATCTCATGCTTATAACTTCTTGACTAAATAATTTAATGATCTGCTCCATAAACACTTAATGGTTTGTAGTTCTTTAGAGATCAATCTAACAACTGAAGACAGTTCAGATGTTAACTTCCTTAACTACCATTTCTTTTTGTATGTTTGCAGTGAAATGTGATTTACAATTCAACATTAATAACAAGTTGAGGGTAGCCCAAATATACAGAAATATACATTTACTTGAAATCTTTCTAAAATAATCATGTCTATAAAGAAAAAGAAAAAAATAGTTTTATTGGAATAAAAGAACAAAAGCTAAAAGCAGTGATTTGTTATCTCCAGTCACTGAGTAAAGCAAAAAGAAAATGCTGAAAGTAACAACTACCAGTAAATTCTTCAAAGAATCAAAGAACAAAAAAAAAAAAAAAAAAAAAAAAAAAAAAAAACAAAAAAAAAAACCACTATATAGAGAGAAAAGTACCAAGATCAGTATTTGACCGAGCAGGGTTAGGGTAAAAAGAATTAGCCAGAATAAAGCATGGAGGTAGTGGGGGAGGGATGAGGTTAAGAGTGAAAAGGCATCAGTTGTTGGATGGCTTTAACAGGTTCAGACAAGAGAAGAAGGGGGAGGTAAAAAAGAAAAAGAAGCAAAGACAGAGAATAGGAGATTGGTGGAATAGTTGATAGATGGGCAAGTCAAGCCAGCTGATATGTCAAAGCCATGCAGAGACTAACATACAGAGGACTGCTCAAGGATAGAGTGGTGAGGGAGAATAGAAAGAGGGTAGGGGTTAGGAATAGGGTCATGAGAGGAGGGCAGGGGAATTTGACCCAATCTAAACACTATGGTTTCCATTTGCCTTCACAAACAACATTTCAGCTAGTGTGTGTGTGTGTGTGTGTGTGTGTGTGTGTGTGTGAGTGTGTGTGTGAGTGAGTGAGAGAGAAAAAAAAAAAGAAATGACAGAAAAAGGAGAGACTGAAGGGAGGAATAAACATGAATAGAGTAATGGAGAGCAGAAGATAACTGAAAGAAGAGCTAAATTATACTTTTGCTGCCAAGAGAGATTATTTTGCTTCAAAGCAAAGATGATAAAAATAATAAGACAATAAGTAGTTCACATCAAACAGTTTCGGCTGAAATACATCTTGTATCAATGATACAAAATGGAAACAAAACCTCAGCAAACTCATTTTGTCAATGCTTTTAATTTTAAATAGCATGGAAATAAATATAGCTTACATTCACTTCTAATTTTGTCAGCATCTTATTCTTATAACAATTATATTTTGATGTCTTTGTTATTAATTGCTATTAAATTCATTCAGTTATATATGAAATCAGTTCATAAATGACATCTTTTCACAATAAAAAATTATTACATTAAAACTATTTCAGTCATTTTACAAAGGTTGTTCCAAAATAAGCACCTTTTATTTAATGATGTTGGTTCATGAAGTTAAAGGTGGGTGTTGGTGGTATGGCAATTTAGGTTGAACCTTCTCAATAACATTTTTTCTTTCTTTCTTTTGCATTGTTTACCAGTAGCAGTTGTCTGGCAGAATGGCATCTGACACAAAAGTGTATACAAAGCAGAGGTATCAGTGAAATCTTCCAAGCAAAACAAATTGCATCCACTGACATTCATCAATGCTTGTCGAATATTTACAGAGAACAAAAAATGAATGTAGGCACAGATGGTGGGTAATGCATTTCAGGAGGGACAATAGTGATCTATGTGACCAGACAGACCTGCACAACAGTCAAACCATAAAATGAAGATCTCTTGTTTATCGTTGGCAAATTTGCAGATTTTTATGAGTACTGCAAGCAAGCTCTGGTTTATCATTGGTGAAAATGCACAGCTAATGGTAGTGGGGGGGGGTCCTAGCTGAAAATTTGCTTTATTTAATGGTGTTAGTAGTCTGTTGTAGTTTTCATGGAAATAAATAAAAAGCATTATTTTCAGAGCAGCCCATATAATGTCAAGCAGTTGAACAGTCACTGATAATAAATATACAATATTAATTTATTGTTCAAGTCATATAATATTCTATTGAATTATCCTAGCAACTCCATTATATTACTGGGTGTGGTTGTATTAACTTTAAAACCCAAATCGTTTAAAAGCTACTAATAAAACAAATAACGAAATGATATATTATTGAACATGAAGAGTAATGATGGTGTCGATTTCCCAAACTTGTTGACTTAACTAAAGAAATCAAGTTTCAGAATACAGGAGAAAAGAGAAAGAAAAAAAAAATTAGTAAAAGCAAAGTATTTTTTTTTTCTCAATTTCTTTTCAAGTGTTAACTGTGACCAAAAAATTTGAAAAATTATTTAATTACAATGAAACGTACAAAAATTGTCAGCTGTTAAAACTCACTAACAGAAAGAAAAAAAAAGGGGGGGATACAAATAAATTTTTACTTTTAGCAGGGGTTGTTTTCAGAAATAAAAATCTGAAATTTTGATGTTTTGTATCTCAATGTAATATTTGGGGATTTATGTTATTGTAAAATAATCTCATTTAATAAATCAAATTTGATCCATTTTGTAAAACACGTTTTTTTTTTAAAGTTACTATGATGATGATGATTTTAGAATCTTTCTTTTTTTTTTTTTTTTAAATCATTATCACCCCAAGAAAGTCAGTACAACCACTAGCACACAAGGAGTTACAGGGTGTGTAGGAATTAGGAACAGAAATATTAGTAATGAGGAGTAAGAGAAAAGAGCAATCAAGAAGATAGTAGACAGCAATTGACATTGCATTTAAATTTTTGCAGATTAAAGTTGGTTGGAAAGCATGGAGCTGGGAGGGAGTTCCACAAGTGAGAAGTGCGAGATAAGAAACCGTTAGCATAGAAGTTATAGCTACATCTAGATAGCTCAACTGTAGACTGATGATTTACAAACAAAAAGCAAAAACTATATTTTTTAAAATTCCATTTGTATAAATCTGTTCTTGAAGAGAAAAATTCCAGTCAATTCCTAATTTTGTCAAATTTATTCATCATGTTGAAGGAGTGTAAATCTCAAATTAAAATATTATCGTGTAAAATTACAGAAGAAATCAAAACTATTCCATCCTAATCCTTGCAGAATTAGACAACTGGAATAAGTTTGATTCATACTGAGTGAACAAGGAGCAGATCTTCAGTTAGAAAAGCAGACTATTTTTTAATCATTTTACCCCAAGAAAGGCAATAAAATCACCGAGACATAGAATATGAGAAAATGCAAACATTATCAAGGAGAGAGAACAATAAAAGAACAAAAATTAAAAAGAATGATTGATATTGAATTTAAATTTCTGAAGATCAAAGTTGACTGGAAAGCAAGAAGCTGGAAGAGAGTTCTACTAGCAAGAATTGTAAGAGAAGAAACTATTAGCATAGAACTTAAGGTTACATTGAGCGATTTCAATGGTAAAATGATGACACATTGCTGCCAATCTAGTACTGCACTTAAATTCACAAAGTTCAGATGCCAAAGAGGAAAGCTCATCAGAATAATTAACATGAAAATATTATAGAAAAGGCAGAGGGAAACTACATTACAGCAGTGGGTAAGTGGATCAATAACATTGCTGATTCTTCTTTGTATTCTGTCTAGATTCTCTAAATATATAGAAGTACCAGACCAGATATGGCAGCCATATTCAAGGCATGGATGAATGGTAGACTTATAAATATGTAAAATAGACTCTGGCAAGAAAAATTATCTAGCATGAGAAAGTGAACCAACCAGGAGACTAATGTAACTATAATAAGTTTAATCCTCACCCGGTTTTACATACACGTGCCCATGTGTTGGACTAAGTTTATTAAAAATTCTTGACTTGACCCACATACCAAAAATCAGTATTCTGATGTTTTCATATTTAAATCCTGATTTTGAGAAGGCCAATTTGAGAACTTGTGTGTGTGAGCACACATGCATACACACACAATACACTTCTTTTATTAGTTGTGGTTAAAAAAGTCCAAAATTAAATTAAAAATAATTAATGCTGGAAACCATTGCATCTATTTGGATTATTTAAAAGAATGCACATGCACACAAAATCAGGTTTTCTTTGAATCAGATGCTGCCAACAAAATGTAGTGATCATCCAAACACCAAGAGGAAAAAAATTGTCTCTATAAGAAAGGTTGATTTGATAAAAATGACTGAATTTCATGGACAAAGCCTGACAACTAATACATCACTTGTAATTTTGCCCTGCCGCACCTCACATCTCAGACAAAATCAGGAAAATGAAATCGTAAACAAAAATAGATTCAGAAGAATTAAGAAATAAGAACATTTATCCTTTATGATTTTTTTTTTAAACACTATGCAAAACACACAACATATAACAAACAAGTCATTAATAAGGCCCTCAACATAAAACAAAAACAACTTTATTACATATCAATAAAAAGCCTGCTACTGGTAACATGTAACCCAGTACAACCTGTCACATGGATAGGTGGTTGGTATCTAAATCAGCTCCCCCACTAGTTCTTCTGCTATTGAGGAGGGTAATGTCAATCCCACACCCCCAAGGGAGCAAAGACAAAGGGTGAGCTTCCTATCATGTGACAATGGCCCAGGGGTAAGATATCTGACTGATGTCAAATCAGTTGGGTTTCAATCCCGACTTGAAGCAAATTGGGTATCTACCACACTGAGGGGCTGTGATACAGCGAAACAATCTGCCTGTGGATGACACACACACACACATATATATATATATATATATATATATAAAAGTTAGGATGGTGTCTGAATAAAAAAAAAAAACACAGTGTACTTGGAGTATGATGAGTGTCTGAGTTGGGCATCAGGAAGACCAGATCATATTCTTAGCTCAAATCGTTATGGTAAGAGAATGTTTGTCAGGCAGGAAACACCTTACTTTGTGTGAGATTAATTCCAGTCCAGCCCCATCAAAAAAATACAGCTATGATGATGAATAATCATAATAGCTGTATTTTTTTGTTATTTTGGTTGATATGCTTAATAATATTAAAATTGCTGATGTTTGTTTCAATATTTTTTGTTTTTTAAAAATACGATCCTCATCTACTACTACTACTAATAATAATAATACTACTAATACTACTACTACTACTACTAATACTAATAATAATACTAATACCAATAATACTAATAATTTCCCTAAGATACACTTTGGGGAAAATCTGTTCACTGATTAACATCTATGCTGAGGTGAGAGAGAGAGAGAGAGAGAGAGCGCTTTTTGAAGAGAATGAAATAATGAGCTTTGAAACTTGCTTACAAATCACTGCTTTTCAAATAGGCACCTGATTAATTGCTCATGTTTGTACTCTTTTTTTTATTAGTTATTTTATTATTTTTGTTGTCAACATAAAAAATTATTTCTTTGCTTTGTCAACCTTTATGTCATTCATTACAAAAGCAAGTTTATGTAAATAGCTCTCTTGTGTCTTTATTTTTATTGTTGTTGTTGTTATCTGTCAATCCACTCAATGTTAGCACATTACCTACAATCACACTCTCAGCACACTGATATGAAACTGCTGTAGTTCTTACCAATGATATTTTTCATACAGAGTTGTTAGTGATAGTAGTAGTAGTAGTAGTCTTTAATACTGGCACTAGCACTTACATTACATGTCATGTGTTTCCCTTGGTGCGTCTGTCTTGCAGATTGTCTTGGTGCCAAAGAAAACGTCTAATCAAATTCTTTCCCTTGCTACAACTGACATTGAGAACAAATTAAAAAAGAATGAAAAGATAATAATAATGATGATGATGATTATGACATGAAAAAATAATTTAAGATGAAAACTAGTATTTTCTTTCTTGCAAAGTGAAAA